GGTTAAAACAATTTGGTTACAGTTTGGAAGAATTGAACACTGAATTATAATAGTAATTGAAATGAATATCCAAATGTGATTTGGTTTAGTGTACGGTTCTTTCATTACATAATCGAATTAATTCGGTTACTGTTAATTTCGGTTTAGTTTGGAACTGAAAATGTGAATGCCCACCCCTAATCCTAAACACACCTGTCCTCTCTAATACCCAATGCAACCTTGATCGCTTAGCTGGCAATTGATGGAACACATGGTGTGCATGTCATTTAAAGTATTCTTACCTCATTGCCTGTGTTATTTTTAAATACATGCGTTATGCACATTTTAACCCTACGAGTTAATCAAAAGTAAGGATAGGATAAAAAGGTGAAGTTTAAAGGAAGGTGAAATTCGAAACGTTCCAAAATGAGATCAAAATGATCATTGGATACGATGTTTGGTATAAAATTCATGTACATAGCCATGTTTATGGATTTATGCCTCCTATGAATCGAGATATAGGTTTCATGGACTTTCCCATCAATGGAAAATGCTCATTCCTTAGCTAAAAGAAGAGAAAAGCGAGGGAAGTAAAAAAGAAGGCAAAATAGGTATGTGAGGAGTCCAACTTTATCACTTTTCATAATAAAGGACTTCAACTTAATTTTCCTCACTAAAGGATTTCAACCATGATAACTAGAGTAGTGCAAAGGTTTTTTAGCTACAAAGTTGTGAGAGTTGGAATACTTTTTGTACTCATAATAAAAATATTTTTTCTTTAAGTGTTTTTTCAATTCAAGGATAAATTAGATAGAAATTAGAAATTTTGCACCTAACATTTTGTTTCTTCAAAAATCCACAAGTGGCTTCACACAAGATAAATCTGAATTCAAGTGTGCCACTTACTTTTTTGAAATATAAGAAAAAAGGATTTTCCCAATGACCCTCTTCTTTCACGTGGTCGACCTCTGTTAGGATGGCTAGAAGAATGTTGGTTTAAGATTGAGTTTTGTGCCTTTAGACGATTGTAAGAGGGAAGGATGCCTTCTTGCTTTGTTATTAATTTGCCTTGGATAATCTCGAGGACTTTACCAATACTATGAATTTAAAGCTAAGAGATTCGAAATGTATTAAATGACATGCAAATTAAAGTAGACTTGCAAAAGATGGATGCATCTTAATTAAAATTACCATGTTTAGAGCCCAATTAACCTACATCTATAAACAGATTTGCAAATTAAAGTACCATAAAATTGGAAATTTAAAAATAATTAATCGTAAAACATATATGAACAAAGATTAAACTAACATGGAATATAAAACAATCATATAAGTAATCATTTTATGAAAAAACACTACTTACCATAAACTTAAAATAAACAATAATCGGAAAAGAAATAGTATCTTATAGAAATTAAAATACATGTTATCCATTACATGAGATGCACTTATAGAAGCAAATACTTGAACTAATTTAGCTATTTGAATATTGGAAACAACTTAGAATCTACAAAGTACTGTATTGAAGATGAAATCTAAAAGCTAAATAGAGCAATTGTTATGAAACTAAAGAATTAAAAATTTGGTGAGTTGTGTGTAGGGTTGGTCGTGTGTTGAATAATCTGAAACTTTCTTTTTATTGGTTTCCTACAAATTGTCCTCCCACCTTACTTGTTGGCTGTTATAGAACATGGATAGTTTTTTTGGAGAAAATGGGCACATTAGTAGGACCAAGTCAAAGCTATATTAGATCTTGCCATTTATACCATTCTACTACTACCTCAACTTCTCAATTGCACTTTCTCCTAAATTATAAGAATTTTTGTTTCTTCAATTTAAATTGCTACTAATCAAATAGTCATCATCGTTCCCAAAAATCAAATTTTACACAGCAAGTAATCTCTGTCTCAACCAGTGAATCTGATGTGAGCTCACCTCACCCATCAACACGTGACATCACTTAAAAGAATATACTTTATAGTGTAAACAATGCCCCCAACACTTGATTTTATGAAAATAAATTCAAGTGTTTGTAATTAAACAAATTGCATGTAAACTTCAACTTCCCATGCCATATGCCAGATTTCAACCACCAAAATGCACATGTTAGACAACTCCAATGTATGAAAGAGGAGATCTCAAACTTTGAGGCTGAGCTTGCAGAACTAAAGAAATAGATTCCCTTTGCGGAGTAGACAGAAAAGAGTTTGGTAAAATAACACCTCAAACTTTATATAGGTGTAGAGGCAGACTTAAACATGGTTTTCAAAATCAAAGATCAACTTTCCTCTCTCACAGCCTCTACAGATGAAGTTGCTGAAGAACTCAAGCACATGAGGGATGAATGAAGTGATTGGTGAAATAACTTTTGTTAGATTTTCTCTTCCATTTTTGTCTTGCTTTGAACTATATTTTACATGTTTTTGATCTTTGAACTTGATGTTTGTAGCCTAAGGGCCATACAAACTGTTATTGTGATATCAATTGTTACCCTTGTCCATGCTTGTGGAAATTTACTTGTTGCATACTTAATCTGTAGTAGGTTGAAATCTATCACAACCATAATCTAGCCACTATGATTGCTCTCAACCAAATCTAGCAGCTTTTAAATTTAGATTCGCACTTTTATTAAAATCCAAAAATGCTAAACAAGAAAGAGAAAGCACTATATAATTTTTGCCCCAAATTTGTCTTAGGAATAAATCAAAGTATCTAGACCTTTAGCCTTGCATACCATAGGATAATAAGGCTTAAGGTAGATGTCATTTATTTTTCGAGGGTGTAGCTCTCCATTTAATGATTCAAGCTAATATGCTCCTTCTCTAAGCACTTTATAGATACGAAATGGTCCTTCCCAATTAGGAGACCAATATCCCAAATCTAGGATTTTTCTTTCCAAGTGGCAAAACTGCTTTCCATACTAGATCGCCTTCTGCCAGACTTTTGGATTTTACCCTCTTATTTTATGCTTGGCTCACTTTCAATTTTTGTGTTTGGAGCCTATCTAAGGTAGTCAAATGCAAACCTTCTAGATCTTTTACTTCTAACATAATTGCATCATTGTATTCTCCAAAAGTAAGACCATGTTGGATTGCTATATGCAAAGATCTAGTAGATAACTCCATAAGAAGAGCAGCATCATGTCCTAAAGTTAAAGAAAAGGAAGTCACCTTGGTAAAGCTCTGCCATGAAGTTCTATAAACCTAGAGGGTGTTAGATAATAGCTCATGCCAACATTTTGGATTGTCGTCAATCATCTTTTCAAACAAATTAATCACAATATTGTTAGAGGCTTCTATTTGGCCATTGGCTTGAGCATAATTAGGAGTTCAGGTAAGCAAGTGGAATCCTATCTCCTTTGTAAACGCTTTCACTTATGCCTCAACAAAGACAGTTTCTTGATTAGATGTTATAGTTTTTGGCAGACTGAATCTGTGAATGATTTATTCTTTGATGAATTTTATGACATTAGTTTGGTCTACCTTCTTCATTGGTTTTGCTTCCACCCATTTTGTGAAATAATCTATGGTGATGATGACAAAAGAATGCCCTTTGGAAGAAGGAGTGTAAACTTTACTAATCAGATTAATGGCCTATCCATGAAATAGCCATGATTTGACAATTGGGTGCAATTTTGATGCTAGAACTCTTTGTAAAGGCCCATGGATTTGATAATCCTTATAACTTTTAGTGTAACTGATGTAATCTTTTAAAATTGATAGTTGGAAAAAACCATGTCTACGATTCAGCTAGCGTAATTTAAGGTTGCTTTCTTGTTCTTCTTGAGGCCTTAGAACTTGGATGCTTGAGATATTCCATGATGGGATGACACTAATATGTTTGAGTTATGTTTATAAAATAAGTAGAAATTGTCATATCACACTTGAATTTATGGCAGAACTTGTTTCTCCATAGTTATAATCTTCCCCATCACACCTTTAGGTATTTTCAAACTTAAGGCAATTTGGGCCATCTCATTTGCTTTTATGCTTAGATCTCGCATTACATGCCTCAAAATCACATTATCAAATCTTTCTAGAAGTTGAATTGCCAAAGCAAAGTAAGGCACCAAATACAAACTGGTGCACTTGTACTTACCCTGTAGTTGTTTTAGAATTAGTTGCGAGTCTCTTATGATTTCTACCATAGGTGACTTGAGTTCTACCAACATCTCCAGACCAATGATCAGCACCTTATGCTTAGTTTGATTATTGGTACAATCAGAATCTAGTTAAAATAACATCTGGGTCTTCAAACTTGTGGTAGAAATAATAACGATCCCAACACTAGACTTGAAATTTGTGTTAGACCCATCAAAGATAAGTTTCCAAGGAATTAGATCTATAGAAAATAGATTGATTCTCTTCTCCTCATCCACTTCTACCTTTAGGCACTGATGATCTGTAAGAAAACCTACCAAGGCTTAACCTTTGATAGCTTTTTGAGGCATATATTTCAAGTTGAATTCTAACAAAGCTAGAACCCACTTTCCAATTCTACCTCTAAGCATTGGTTGAGACAACA